ACGCTCAAATAAGACACATTAAAAGGGAAAATGAAATTTCGTTATGTTTCAGGTGTTAAGGGTGTTAATGGGTCGGAAAGAAAAGGTCTTTATGTTCTTTTAGTTCACAAGATTATAAGAGACTGTAGTGTAGATTTACAGCCTTATTCTGTATCACGAACGATAGGCAACACGAACGATTCGTCTGCAGAGGAATGCTTCAAAAATTAGCCCGGGGCATAATTTTAGTCGGTTTAAACGTCGGTAATGTATGAAAAGCAAGACGAAGACAATCGGTAGAGTTTAAAATCGCAATCAGAGAGGTTGTCGTCTGCAGACGAATCGTTCGTTTTGCCTATCGTTCGTGATACAGAACAAGGCCCTTAAACTGCTATATAGTTCATGAAACTTCATTTCTGGTTTTTGCTTTCGTTTGATAGGAACTGTAGAAAAAATTAAGTAAAAGTAAGAAAATTTTAACGTTTAGGGCCGGTTGCTCATAGCCTGGTTGACACTAATCATCGGTTAACACGTTATCGACTTTTTCGACTCCATGCATACACACCCGATTTACATGATTCAAGTACTTGAAAGCAATTCTTGCTCATTCTCTTTTGTGTTTTCTATTTGTTTTTACACGCTTCAATTGTGTTGAACTCAAGTTTTTGGTTCTTTAAATGGGAAATAACGAAAATGTCAAAAGCAAAGCAAGAAAGTTGAAACGACTTGAAGTTCCAGTCTAAGCGTAACGGCAACGCTGGACGCAAGTTGTATTCAGAAGGTGATAGCAGTACCCTTTTATTTTTCTTCGCCTCACGGCTTCATATGCCAAATGACTGTTGTTGATTGGTTGGAGCTGTTGATTGTTTATTATTTTCTGTTCTCTTTCACACTCTTCGTATGATATTTTTGACAGTCCTCGCCGCAAAAGCAAAAACAAAATGCATGTACATTTAGTTATTGTCGTACCGATACCACCTTATTGAATACGCCCAAGGCGTATACACCACACCATACAAGGTGGTGGCAATTGCATATAAGTAAAAGTCCCGTGTATTTTGTTATTGCTTTTTGGTACAGGAGGATGCCAATACGAAAGGGAATAGGAGATAATTTTCGTCATTTCGTTTAGTTGACATCCTAAAGGTGCGCCACTTCGTCTTGGATGACATTCTCCTGTACTAGTGTAGAGACAAAAATATCCAATCAGCTGATCAATCAACACCACTTTGTTTGCGCCTTGAACACGCCTTGGCTGCACACAGCTGTAAATTAGAAAATAAGAGCAAGAATTTTACGGCGCGTTTACATTGGACAATGCTGTCCAGGCAATAAAGAAATACGTATTAGTTGTCAAAAACGCTGATAATTGTCTCCGTGGCGTAGGCGTTCTGACAATAGTTAAGACAATTCATTTTGAGCAAAATGTCGAACGTGAACGTTGAATTATAAGTTACAGAAATACGCATTTCGCACGAGTTATTTGAGGTAAAAACTAAAATATAAAAAAGAGACAAATTTACATACACACCAGCGTCTCTTTAATTATTATAGTTATTTTGTTATGAATTTATCTTCTTTTTTGCACAAGACGTCAAAATTATTGTATGCATACGTCAAATCATTGTCCGATTTACTGTCTTCAAAATAATCATGATCACGTGATTGAGCCAATTGAAAAAGTATTCAGGGTTACCACTAAAAAACTTTCTCTCCTACCAAGAGCTGGTTCAAAAACCTACCGAAATGGCTTTTTTCCTACCATTTAAGAAAACGGCGTTTGACGGCAGTAAATAAATTTTTTTGCTGGTTTTTACACTCAGGGCCGGTTACTCAATGTCTGGTTAACACTAATCTGCGGTTAAACATCGTTATCGACGTCTACGACTCCATGCATACAACAGGGAGTCGGTAACGTCGATAACTATGTTTAATCGGGGATTAGCGTTAACCTTTATAGATCACTCATTTATTATGAAGTATATACAGTCGCGTCAAAAATATGAATATCTTGACGTTTTGACGATTTTCTTCTTTTATATTTTCCATACCATTTTTTTTTATTTTGTTATAAAAATATAATTCCTTCTACAGAAAAACCAACAGAACCGATTTTTTCTATTTCATATAGAACTTGGAAAAATTCAAGAAATACTAAAAAATTTCCACCAAAATTTTATACTTTTCAATTCGATTTCTTAAATTGAGTACGCAGTTTTGTAGCCCACTCCATTTAAATAAAATAAGGCTAAACTTTCAAGTCTCTAAAAATTACCGTTAATTTTTGAGACTTTTTTGGCAAGGGTGTTTCGCATTTTTTATATGGAAGAAAATGCAACACCCTCGACAAAAAAAATCTCAAAAATCAACGATAATTTTTAAACTTGAAACTTGCTCCTTATTATATTAAAATTTAATAGGCTACAAAACTGCATACCCAGAATTTTTCTAAGAAATGCAATTGAAAAGTTGAAAATTTTTATGACAATTTTTTGGTAGTTCTTGAATTTTAACGAGTTATATATAAAATTGATTTTTCTGGTTTTTGCTGTTGAACTAACTATATTTTTATAAAAAAAGAAGAATAATTTGTTATGGAAAATATAAATAAAGAAACGTCTGGGTATTCATATATTTGACGCTGACTGTATATGTTCATAAATAAGTAAGGTAAAAATAAGCCTCACGGCTAGGCTTGCCAAATGTCCTAGGAGCCGCCGGGCTGGGGGAAAAATCTACGCGCTGCTGGTTTGCCATTAACTTCTTCGAGTTGCGGTTAAAAACTTTGAGATCCTCCGATTTACTGGAAACAATAAGTTGTTTTCTTTTTAATTTTCGTGTATGATAGGTTAGGTTAGGTTAGGTTGATGTGGCTGCCAGTGACACCACTAGCACACATAGGCCCTAGGTTGTGGGCCCGTTGTGATACCACGCGGATCGTTAGAACCCTCCTACTCAAACCATCATGTGGATTTTGCGAAACCCAGAAGTTGCCGTATGCCTACTTCGGCTATGTCGGTTAGGTCCTCAAAGAATCCTGAACCCATGAACTTTTGTCTTCTTCTACAAAGTGCGGGACAATCGCATAACAGGTGCCGCAAGGTTTCTGGCTCTTCTTCATTTCTGCAGCTTCTGCAGAACTCGTTATGGGGGATCCCTAACCTCTCCGCGTGCCCTCCGATAGCAACATGGCCTGTTAGCAGACCCACAGCTGCGGCTAGGTCTCCTTTGCTCAGCATGAGGAGATCCTTCGACCGCTTTTTGTCCCATTTAGGCCATGTAAGCTTCGTGTTGTTGCAAGTGGTGAGGCTATCCCACCTGTCCCTTGCTAGTTTAAGAGACAGATCCCTTAGAATGAGCTTGCAGGTAGCGAGCGGCATGCCTAATCCCTTCCAGGCCTGCGAAAGTGGAGCGGATGTGCCCTCTCTTGCAAGTTCGTCCGCCTTTTCGTTGCCTGGTATGTTCCGGTGCCCCGGAACCCATACCAAGTGAAGTGCAGACTGCTCAGCCATCTCGTTTAGAGATCTGCGACAGTCCGCTACGGTTTTTGAACTGCATGTGACCGAGTCGAGCGCTTTGAGTGCGGCCTGACTGTCTGAGTAGATGAAGATATCGTTATAAATGACTTCTCTTGTACGTAGGTGTTCAACCGCTTCCTGTATGGCAGCGACCTCAGCTTGAAAGACGCTGCAGTGGTTGGGTAAGCGAAAACATATTTCCAGCCCCAGTCGGGCTGAGAAGACCCCCCCTCCTACCTTGCCGTCTAGCTTAGAGCCATCGGTGTAGAGGTGGAGTGATCCATTGTCATCGGGAGCCCCTCCTGACCAGAATTTTCTATCTGGAATGGAAATCCTATACCTCTTTGTGAAGTTCAACCTTGGTGCACAGTAATCCGTGTCCGGTATATTTACGTCCTTTAAGATTGCGGTGTGGCCTTCCTGAGTGTCTCTCCAGCCTGGTAGTTCCCTCAACCTCAAGGCGGCACACCCCGCTGATTGCTTTCCAACAATTTCAATTGGTAAAATATCGAGGAGCACGCACATAGCCTCCGATGGAGTTGTGCGCAGGGCCCCACAGATGCAGAGCATCGCAGTTCTTTGCACCTTTTGGAGTGCTTCAGTTTTAGATTTCCTGTTGAGACTTGGCCACCATACCAAGACCTCATATAATAGAATCGGCCTAACAACTACCGTGTATAACCAATACATGATGCTAGGGGACAGCCCCCAGCTACGCCCAATCACCCCTTGCAGCTGTAGAGGGCTACCGTCGCTTTTTTAACACGCTCTGGTATATTTTGCGCCCAGTTAAGCTTTTTGTCCAAGACTACGCCTAGATATTTTGCAGACTCCCCTAGCTTCAGAATCTTATTGCCTATGGCAGGGAGCTGAAGTGAGGGGATTTTGTACTTCCTGGTAAAGAGCACCAGGTCCGTTTTTTCTGGGTTAACACCCAGACCTTTCTCCTTGGTCCATCTCTCGATTAACCTTAGTCTGTCCTGCATAATGTCACAAAGAGTTTGTGGAAATTTTCCACTCACAACCACCGCAAGGTCGTCAGCATACGCTATGACCTTGGAGCCTCCCCCCCTTCCAGGGTCTGCAATAATTCATTAATCGCCATGACCCATAGAAGGGGGGAGAGGACCCCACCCTGCGGGGTTCCCCTGCAAACGTATCTGTCCAGCGACACGCCCGCCAGTTCCGCCCGCACGACCCTGCCAACTAGCAGCTGTCGTATAAGCGACACCAGCCGTGAGTCGATGTCCAGACCAGTTAGAGCTGATGTGATTGCTTCAGGTGTGATGTTGTTGAAAGCTAAGAATGCTATCAAGGTGTATTCCTTTATCGCAAGGGATTTCTCAATATGCGACACGATTTCGTGTAGCGCTGTTTCGGTGGACTTCCCCTTCATATAGGCATGCTGCGAAGCCATAAGCTTGTCTGCAACCGATTCCCTAAGAAAGGATTCAATCAGTCGCTCCATTATCTTGAGCTGGAAAGATGATAGACTGATAGGTCTAAAATCCTTGGCGCTAGTATGGGATGTTCTTCCCGCTTTAGGAATGAAGACAACCTTTGACCTTTGCCAGGTCTCCGGAATGTAGTTGAGAGTGAGGACTCCCTTAAAAGTAGCATACAGCCATTTTGAGCTTAGCTCCATAGATTGCTGCAGCTGAATCGGTGTAACACCATCGGGACCCGCAGATTTGTAAGGCTTGAAGGACCCTATTGCCCACATTAGTTTTTCTTTGGTGATGAGGTCTACCGTAACCGGTTGACCTCTATTTCTTATTGGCCCGTTCAATGGCTGCTCGGTGGCGCCTGGAAAGTGCGTGCTCAGAAGATGGTCCAGGGATTCCTCCCCAGTTTCCGTCCACGCTCCGTCGGATCTTAGCAAGCATCCCGGGGCGATACGAGGTGAACTAGAGAGAACCTTCCTGAGCCTAGAACCTTCTGATACGGATTCCATACCACTGCAAAAGTTCCTCCATGAGGATCTCTTGCTCTTCCTTAGTAGTTTCTTGTAATCTTTCAAGTTTAACTTATGGATTTCCCATTGCATATCGCCTCCCGAGGATTTTGCGAGATTGAAGGCTCTACGACAATTTTTGCGGGCCTCGTCAATCTCTGTACTCCACCAAGGTGGTTTCTTTTTGCCTCTCGGCTTTACCATGGGGCAGGCCTGATCCAGAGCCTTGCCACATGCCGCAGTAAAGCGATTTGCCAGCCTATCTAGGTCCCTAGAGTTTCCTGGAATTGCTAGTGTGGTTCTTGAGAGCCGCTTGTCAAGCTCTTTTCTGTACTTATGCCAGTCGGCTTTCCTTAGATTTCTTTTGGCAGGACCCCATCTAAATCGAATTGGATGAAGCGATGATCAGAGAAGGAATGCTCATCAAGCACCCTCCAGTTCCTGATCATGACCTCCGCATCTTCTGAGACGAGGGTAACATCCAGGACCTCTATTCTGCTCTTCGTTATGAAGGTAGGCTCGCTACCCCTATTGCTTATAACTAAGTTAGATTTTAGTATGAATTCAAAGAGTGACTCACCCCGTTCATTGATGTCTCCACTTCCCCATGTGCTATGGTGTGCATTTGCATCACCTCCTAGAATCAGGGCCCCGTCCCAGCGCTCCACTAAATGTTCGACCGGTAGGGTTGGAACAGGCCTGTCATGTGCCAGATACATCGAGGCAAGCCTTATTTGTCGTCCGTTCGCCTCCAGACTGATGGTGGTGGTGTCCTCGTCACTGAACTGAGGAAGAAACAATATTTTTAGTTTGGTACTTACAAGGATGCAGGCCCTTGGTTTACCTATGGTAGCTCCACTTATCAAAGTGTGCTCTGCCGACTTCAGCCCGCATATTCTATGCCCTATCACCCAAGGCTCCTGGATGAGGGCGATGTCTGCTGCCCCCTTGGAGAGCTGGACTTCGTTGCCTCTTGCTGCGTTCACGTCGTTCGTGTACACCCTTATCTTTACGGTGTCGAAACCGTAATTGATGACGCCCCCAGTCTTTTCGAGGAGTGGCAACGACTCCTTATTTGGCAAAAGGACCGCCTGACGAGTCGCCTTTGTGCTATGCTCTAGCCGCACCACCTTCCAATTGTGAGAGGGTAACTCGGGATTAAAGAGCCTTGTAATCTCAAGCACTCTTTCTGGTTCGGTCGGTTTGGCCGGTATCCATGCCCTTGCTCTAGGCCTGGATGGGATGTCCTTAAAGTCCACAGCCCGTAGCATCGCTCCGGGGTAGACCTCTCCCAGTATGGCCATCGCCTTCTTGTACATGCCCGCAGACCTTTCATCGTCGCACGCGACGATCTTGACGTTGCCTTGGAACCAACCTGCGTCCCGGCATATCGGAGGTGGTCCGGGGTGCTCCCGAAGCACGCTAACGCAGATGTTCGCCAATTCCGCTTTAACCCATTTCCAATGAGCTCTCAGAGCCAATTCGTCTTCCTGGTTCTCATCGAGCACACCCAGGAGGATCCGATTTTTGGCCACCTCAGCAAAGGTGAGGCCTTGCGTCCTGGCTCTCTTCGACTTGTTTTGCGCAACCTCTATCGATCTATTGCGCTTTTCCGCAGCTGGTGGCTCTCCGAGCACCGGCAGCTGATAGTCGGGCACTATCGTCATTGCCCACGCTATCTCCGACCGGATCTCTTCCACGTGACAGGGCAGCGCCCTGCTACATAGGTCCGGTGTTAATGTGGATCTCTTCAAGATCCTCATGGCAGCCTTCCTGTGCTTAGCAATGGCTGCGCTTGGTGGTGGCCTGTCATCAGGCCTTGTGAATGCAGTAGGAGTAGGGGGAGGCGGGGCCCGCGCATCAGCTCTGGCGCCCTCTGGGGCTGCAAGCTGCAAGCCAGGTTTGCCTTCACTGGTGCCGGGAAAATCCCGTTTCGGTTCCCCCACCCTCTTCCTTTCCGCTTTTGTGGATACGCCTGACCCCGGCATCGCCAGAGGCTTACGTACCCCACTAGTGTTGGCCACGTCGTGGCTAGTAGAGGGACCCTGCATCGCATGGGCCCCATGGTGTCTGGGCAACTGCCCTTCCGACTTTTTATGAGTGCCGGTCTCAATTTCCGTTGTTGTTGATTTTAGTTTATTTTTTAAATCGCTCATATTCCAACGAGTCGCGGAGAAAGGGTTCGTCGGCCCCGGGCAGAGATCCGCAGTACCCAGGGTAAAGCCATCGAATGCAACCGGGTGCGGCCTGGTTCCCAGAGGGCTCCGTTAGCGACTGGGCTATTTAGGGGCTCCCAGCCAGGCTGATCCTCAGTACGGTACGCGTAACGCCTTGATCCAGCCCCTACCTCCAGACCACGATCAAAGACCATTTCCGTATGGCATAGCGATGAAAACGCATAAGCACACAGCACTGATCTCTGATCTTAGCTGGACACCCTCCCGACATCGCACGGGATTGCTCTGTAGTGCCCATTTCCAGCCGGCACCCTCGCGGAGGGTTCAGTCCGAGGATTTTCGCCGGCCATATATGATAAAAAATAACATATTCTGTAAACACGTACATTTGTAACATGCATTTGAATCACTCTTCTAGTGCCATTTAAAATATTTTAACAGCCTTGTCATTGTTGAATCTATTATCGATTCGAGACTGCATTTCAAAGAAAAATATCTGATCCATAAACCTGCCTTCACGTCCATCAATTCAATCATTTGATGTCCCTTTAGATACCCAGTGGATACAACTTTTTTTAGCGTATACGAAGTTCAGAGAATCGCCGAAGGTAATTGGTGAAATTCTGCCTATGCCAATAAGCAACGAGTTTTTTAAAGTATTTGGCAAACAGTTGGACCCACCCAAGAAACAGAATGAGGGTAAAACTGATATTGTCCCAATTCTCTCAGTGCTGAAAAAGTGACACACTACAACAAACCAGAGATGTTTTCTGTTTTATGAGCAAAGAAACCTACCAAAATTTAGAGGCCTACCATCCTACCATCGAGAAAAAAACCTACCAAAAAACATTGATTTTTATTAATTTATATCTGCATCCCTACAATACAACTTTTATGCATACAAAGTCCATTAAGTACTCCAATAAAAATTTGGTGCTTTTTCCGAGAAAAAACTTGGGTCTTAGTGCTTATTCAATTTCAAAACTTCACAACATAAATAATACATACTTTCACGCATGATACAAAAATTTGAAGGTAAAACCGCTGAGAGGCAGCCTGAACATTTTTGAAGTTTGCTAACATACAAAAATGTTTTCAAATTTTCAATCTCACAAATACATTCTCACTTTCAGTCTCAAAATTCGAACATTTTCATCTATTTGTTTTTCGTTTTACTTTTGTTTGGCATTTGAGTTGCTCTGAAAATTTCAATTTTATAAAGTAGACAAACTTCAAAAAATATATTATGGCCGACGAATTGAGCGAGCGGTTTTACCTTTAAATATTTGTATCAAGCTTTCACGGATGCCAACCAGCGTTGCCATTTTAGCCGTTTTCCGGCTAGATTTAGCCGGTTGCGACAGCAAACAGCCGGAAAAAATTCGATTTAGCCGGCAGCCGATTTGTTAGCCGTTTTGCAAAAAAAAAATTAGCCGTTTTAGCCGATTTTGCTCTTCGCCTTCTTTTATTAAAATTCAAATATACACGTTTTTATTTTTATAAATTTAGTGCTCCAAAATCTATTAGAAATGGCTAGTCTTACCTCTGAGAAAATTTTCTTGTCGGACTGTGTTATATAAAATTGAAAAACAATCAGAAAGTGAGCCGATTTCAATGTTTTTTGTTTTAAGCGAGTGACCCAAATACACATAAACTGGGACGCGTCATTTTAGCAGATTAAAAAGTTACAAGTTTTGCTGAAATTTTGCAGAATTTTCATAATTTTTACACTAAGTGTGAAATCTGTTTGTAGTATATGTTGTTTGTTAAGTAATGAGCTACATATTCATAAAAAATGATACATATTAAATAAACTAAAGAAAAATAGGCAAAACTTGCTTCAATTTTGCGTCCCAGTTTATATTTGGGAGAACGCAGCGGGAATTTTCTTCATATCGCTAGCTTAGAAATAAAAGTTGCTAAGTCCCATTTTAAAAATTTTACAGGAGAGGAAAAAATCTTCCTATAGCCATTTTCTTTAACTATTTCGCAAGACTTTGAATCAAACATTTTGCGCGTTTAAAGCAAAGCAAAACTCCATAAGAATCAGGATTCGATATTTATTAAAAGATGATATTTATTAAAGAAGGTCGGATTTGTGTTGGAATAAAACAAATACC